TAAGAGACAGGTGGCTGGGGCTGCCCTGTACCGGGGTGGGGGGCCTATGGAGGACAGGGGGTGCCCTTATAGCTGCTTTGTCCTCTAGCTGGGGCCCTGTGGGGTGAGGGGGGCTTACAGGTGGGGGCCACCCAGTGCAGGGGATATGGGAGTCATGATAGGGTGGAGTCAGGGCTGGGGGGGGCCAAAAAGACAGTGGTGGGGTCCCCGTGGGGTGGTGGGCAGGAGCCGGTGGCAGGGAGGAGGAGCCCTTCCAGGGGGCCCGATGTGTCCCCAAAGTTGGGGATGGGTCGTTGCCTGGGTGGGGGTCGTTGCACAAGGTACTTGTCCTGTCACAGGCGCTGGGAGGTGAGGAGGGGGCTGGGATGATCCCCCCCCACCGCATATTGGTGGCCGGTGGTGGGGCCTCCACTAGCCCCCCCATGGAGGAGGTTGCCCCTTGCTCCGCTGCTCCTCGGGGTTTCTGCGGTGGGAACTGGGGTCTGTGTGGGAGCAGAGCCCCCCGCCCCGTGCTCTGGAGCCCCCAGACTCGGGTGCTCTGCGGCCTCCTCGTGGGGCGGTAGCCAGGGCCAGCTGCCTCCAGCCGTCTGTGGCCGTGGCCACTGTCTGGAGGGAGTCCAGGAGCCCGCGTCGGCCAACACGCGAGGGCTTGGCCCTCGGAGGAGAGCGTCCGGGAGCGAGGGCTGAGCTCAGCAGCCCCCCGCTCGCCATCGGGAGGAGCTGGACCAGTGGGTCAACTGCGGCGATGTTCTACAGCCCTGCCCTCGCCGTCAGGGGCTCCCCAACCTTCAGGGTCTCCCCAACCTTCGGACTCTTTGGATCAGGGTGTCCCGTGGAGCCACCGTGTGCCGTGTGGGCTGGACACACCTTTACGACTTGGTTCTGGTGACGGGCAGAGGGGCCCGAGTCGGGATTTTTTGGCCCCGGCCTTTTGCGTAGTGCCTGCCTGACCCTCCCCGGGAGGCCAGGCCGCGGCGGGGGAAGATCTGCCCACCCTCAGCCAGCACCCCGGGGGCTTCGGGGCTCGAGGACAACCCCGACACATCGCTGCTGATGGTGATGGCGGTTGCGTAAGCGCAGGCTCTGGCACCAGCAGCGCTTGAGCCGAGGGGGATGTAGCCCAGATTTACTCGTTAGCTGCGTTCGTTAGCAGCAGCACAGAGGAAGAAGCTGAATCTTCTGCCGTTTGTTGGAAAAATTCGAAGCTGGTCGCTCGCTGAAGTGCTGGTGGCGTGAGGACGGGCCCAGGCTGAGCCCGGCCGCGTCCTCGGGGGAAGCTCCGTCAGCACGAGCTGAACCGCTGAACTCACGGTGGCCAAGCGGCCAATCCCTTCTGTCCCCACCGAGGTGGAAATTATTTAATCTCGTTTCTAGGCTCATCCATTCTACCCGAATTCCTGCCCCGGGATAACACCTGGGTTTGAGGGACCACGGGCTGGGAGTGACATGCGCCAGGCCAGGTGTTGAGTGGGCAGAGGTGTCGCCGGATCAGAGCACTTTTCTGGCTCCTCACTTAATTCTACAGCAATTATTGAGCATGAGCTTAATTATTTCCCCCCTTGGAGGGGGATTTACGTGCTCTGCTGCGTCTGGCCTTGACCACGCCGGACCCTTCCCAAGCAGTGCCAAACCTAAAGCAAAGCCCTTCTGTCGCTCCGGGGGGGGCTGCGGGGGGTCCCTGTCCTGCTGGCCGTCCCTGAGGAGGTGAGCTGCTTGCTTTGCTCTCTGGAGGAAGTACAGGGCGAGGGTTTGACCCCCCCACGGGTTCCCATTTGCTTTCCCTCGGCAATAAACACCCGTTTCCTTGTCCTCTGGGCTCGGGGCTTTGCCGTACGACCTGGTGGGGCCGTGGCGAGATGGTGGGAACTGCTTTTCCGCTTACCGGGGGGCACTGATGGGTGGTTTATTCTGCACAACCGCAAAGCCACGGGGCCGTGGGTGCTTTTGGGGCTGGCGGCGAGCGGGGGGTGCTCAGCACCTCACACATTCCTCCCCCCGTCCCCGACGTCACAGCGTGATGCTCTGCAGTGATGCTGCCGTGTCATCCCCAGCAATGTTAATCCTGCTGCATAATTGGTAACGAGGGAGAGAGCCGAGCCAGAGGGGAAGCCCCTTTTTGGGGGAGGTTTCACCCAGGGGTGAGATATTTTCCAGTTGAAATCGCTGCCGAGAGCCGTCCTTAGCTCAGGGGTGGGAGGAATATGAAATAGCAGCCTGGCTTCTTCCAGCCCCTGGCTCTGCCTTTGCGCTCCAGCGTCACCTTCCTGGGAGACGCCGAACGCTGCAACGGAATTAAACGGGCTCCTTCGGTTGTTCCTGGATTAGATTTTTCTGACTTTATCCTGCATGCCGTGATCCGGTCTTAAAAATGCCCGTATCCACCAGGACGGGGCCGGGATGCTTCTCCAGTTCTGTTGGGCTGCTGCTTAGCCCGGGGGTCTCTCCCTGTATACATATATATATTTATTTTCTTCCTTCTTGCATATCATTCCCACCCGCTCCTTGTCTGGCTGCTGAAATAATCCCACATCCCTGTATTTGACACCTCTGATGCCTCAAAATCCTGGGAAGCTTTGTCAGGATCCACTTTTGGCTCTTCCTTCTTACAGGAAACTTACTTAAACCCCCAAAAATTGATGTTCGAAAGATGCAGTTAAAACAGTTTGTAGAGGGAAGTAAATATGAGGAGGAAAAATCATGAGCATCCTCCAAGTTACCCGATCCTGATCCGTGTGTGATTTTTTTGGGAGCCATCACAAAATCCAGAGGATCACAAAATCCGCAGATGCTCAGAGGGTCTCCACCTGGTAATTACTAATTACTCTGAATATCTGGAGATAAAACTGCTCATCGCTCTGGAATTGCTGTTTTGGGCTCCACCTGGACAAGGCGATGGAGGAGCAGCCCGGCAGCGCATCTGACGTGGCTCACGGCTCATCGGAGGCGGCGCTGGCGTCACCGGAGGCGAAACGAAGGTCGTTGGTGGGTCCTGGCCCGAGGGCGATGCACCCCTTGGCATCAAGAAATGAACTCTGAGGACCACAGAGCATCTCCCACCCTTCCTCCTCTCCTGAAAGCTGCCAACTGGCAAACCAGGAGTGTGGGGTTTTTGCAGCATGTCGGCGTTAATTCCTCGTGAGGATCCGCGCTCGTTAGTCCTTGGACGAGCTTCGAGCCGGCAGGTTTTCCTGGTGGGCTCTTGGAGCCCTGTGGCTGGAGCAGCTCTGCCTCGGGAGGCTCTTTGCATCCCCAGTCACACGAGTTCCATCTCTGTCCTGAACCCCTCCCCGCTGCCAAAGACAATTCCAGCAACAGCTGACATGGAAAAAAAAAATATTTTTAGTTGAGCTCTTTTCAGTGTGGTTTAAGAGCGGAAAGAAGGGGAATTGGGGTTGCGTGGCCGCTTCCTCACAGCATTTGAGTTAAGTTTTTTCTTTCTCCATCGCAGATCCCCTCCTTGGGACTTTGCCTCCATTTAAAAACTGAACAAAACCTGCAAACGGCCTATTTTCATTTTCTCTCCCCACCCCGACTCTTGCCACCATCGTTAATAGATTTTTTTTTTTCTTTGGCTCAGGAGGCGAGGAGGGAGGAGAAGAGGCTTTCCCTGCAGGATAAGCCTGGGATGAGCCAACTCTTTGCCCTCTCTCTCCTTAAACCTTCGCTTAAGCCAGACCCTGACCTCAGGGCCAGAAATCCTCACGCCACTGCAGAGCCCAGTCCCACGCGAGGGTGAGGGTCTCTCATCCTCTCCCAGAGAGGCTCTGGGGACTTTTCTGGGCACCCAACCCCCTGCTCTGTGCTGGGTCTTGGGGGCTTCTGAGCTACTGGACCTGCCTCTGTGCCCTGAGTATTTTCAAAAGTGGATTTTTTTTTATTTCAAAAAAGGAGTAATTTGAGCTAATAAATGAATTAAAATGGCCTTTGCATCACACGGGTGCTGCTACCACCACGCTGCTGGAGGAGGAGGAGGAGGAGGAGGAAGAGGAAGCCTGCGTGGGCAGGGGAGCTTCTACCATGGAGAAATGAGATGAAAACTTCATTTTCCTGCTGCTCCATCCCCGCAACATCTCCGAAGCTGCTGCTCCTGGTTCCCCGTCCTCGGCCCCAGTTGTGCCTCAAGGCAGCACCCCTGGGTGGGTGCCCACTTTGCTGGGTTTGGCTTCTCTTCCCCCAGCTCTGGGGCAGTTTTGACCCCCCAGCGCAGCAAATTGATGCTTTATGAGAAACACAATTAATATGAACCATCTCCTGGTGGCTCCGTCCAGGGAAGGGTCCAGGCTCCGTCCCCGACCGCAGTTTGATGCTGCCGGTGCGGGTGTCCACCTGGATACCCTCACCGATTTTTCTCACCGTAAGTGAAGGGGTTTTAGATGATATTTTGAAGATTTGCATTGGAGGGAATAGGAGAAACCACAGAGACTCTCCTCATTCATTATCTTCTTCCTTAAACGAGGCCGACGAAGACGCCTGAGCCCTGGGACGAGCATCACCGTGCAGGCAGCACCCACAGGAGCCCGACCAGGGACCTCCTGAGCACAGGAACGGGGCCATTTTGGGGCGATTGAACGTGGTAAAACAAGGTGGGGAGGGGACACACCTGGTGGCAACGATGCTCAAGTGGGTGTTTTCCGCCTCTGCTTTTCCCCTCGGATGATGTGTGCAATCGATGTCGTTAAATCAGCTCCTTAATTGGGCTGATGCTTAACGTTGGTTCAACAGCTGCTTTTTTCTCCCCCTCCTTTAGCGGCAGGATTAAACAATTTGCCAACAAAAAACCCCAACCACCCTGAAAAGCTGTGTTTAAACCCAAGCCGTGACATCTGTGGGTCAGGGAACAGCATCCTGCTCGGGGGCTTTGCCGTGGCCCTGGTGCCGCTGCGGCTCTGGCACCGCTGAATCCTTTTTGGGGGGGAAGAAGGGCACCAGCGTTTCCCTTTTGGCTTTAAAGATGCTGGAGGCGATGCAGAGCCCGTCCCTGAGCTTCATCCGGGTGTGGGCAGAGCTTCCCCTTGCCCATTTGCCCCCGAATCACACCCAAAACCCCCTGGTCCCCCCCGGGGCTGCCGTACCCGGTTGCCGTTGGCTGAGATGTTTTTTTTCGAAGCTGGTTGTTCCGTTGCCATGAGAACGGTGGTTGAAGCAGAGGAAACACAAAGCGGAGAGGAGCGGGTGGGTGCTGGGCTCCCCGGGGCCGGGACGGGGCATCCCGGGAGAATCCCGGCTCCAGCCTGGCCCCG